TCTTTCATTCTCACTGGTCTTTTTTTTTTTTTTTTTTTTTAACAATGAACATAATTGGCTTGTCAGGATATGGCTCCATCCCTGGATGAAATGATTTTTGTTGCCAAGGAAATGGAGAGGAGTTGGCTATAAAGATTCCATTGTTGATGGGAGGAGGCAACCAGTCAGGTAGTCAGTGTGATGATCTCTATACTCACTTTGAATTCTCTTCGATGCCATTGTTTATGACATGTGGGAATTTACTTGCTTATTGTCTCCTTGTTGTATAGCTTTCCATTCTTTCACTGGGAAGTAATTAGAGCTTCAGGAGCCCAATCTGGGAAACTCCTTTGTGATTACCCTGTTTGCTTGTAGTTATCTTTTCCGTAATCTTTTTTCTTCCAGGCAGCTCCAAAGAATTATAATGTACTCTTAACCCTCTAGAAATCAGACTGGACAACCAAAATTGTGGTTTTGTTTTGTTTTCAGAAGATGTTTCTTGAACTTATGCCTATCTATTCAAGCAGGAGTCCTTGCTAAGTAATTACAATCCCCTTGAAGAACCTCTGACCTTGTAACAAAGAGACACACTAATGAAAATGAACTAGGAAGTCAGTTAGTGTAAAAGGCATAAAAGAGGAGGATATCCACATTGAGTCACATGGCAGTGTTTGGTTCAAGTTATTCTTGGAATCATGAATGTTTTGGCAAGAGACACTGGGCTTTTGCAGCATTTCATACATGGAAGACTTGATGGTTGTGAGAAGCGATAATATCAAACTGGAACACTCAATTTGGTGAGTTCCGCAGGTGTCCTGAGTCTGCTGTGCTGGTTTCCTTTTTTCTAGTGCAAAAGTGAAATAATAGGTATTTGGAGCTCCTCACAGAGTGGCACTTTTTATTTGAGGATTGGCTCAGTGACTGGAAGGTCTGGAATGTGTAGGCTGGAGACTCTGGCAGGAGCCACCAGACAAAAGAAAATTCTCCTAAGACCCCTGGTTGCTTCTTCTCAGATGATCACGAATTTTTTTTTTGATAACTCAATCATTTATTTGCCAGATGACAGTTAAGGACTTGTATGATTTCATGAGACAAATTTCACAAGGTGATAGCTGTGACATTTCCAATGCCCAAGCATGGACAGATACCATCTCCAGACATTTGATATAAGACCATTCAGTCTTTAGAAAGGCTGAAGGTTAGGGGTCAGGAGCAAATCAGATGTTCTTGAAGTGTCCTTTTAAACATATTTATAAAAGAGAAGAAAACCAACTGTTATTTTATCTGCAGTATGGTGATGTGGTATTACATGTAGGAGACTTAAGATCTAACCTTGTTACAGACAGAACTTCACAGAGTATACATCCTGAAAGTCAGCTGTTAAATTTAACTAATGTACTGTGGTTACCCTGTTTTAGTTAGGGTTTCTATTGCTGTGTTGGAACACCATGACCAAAAAGCAAACTAGGAAGGAATCAAGCATATACTTGCACATTGCTGCTCTTCATCAAAGGAAGTGCTGGGAACTCAAACAGGACAGAATCCATGGACATGCTGCTTATAGGCTTGCTCCTCATGACTTGCCTCAGTCTGCTTTCTTATAGAACCAGAACCATCAACCTGGGATGGCCCCACCCACAGTGAGCTGGGTTCTTTCCTCAGCAGTCCCTAATAGGGAAAATATCTTGCAGCTGGATCTCTTGGAGGCATTTTCTTTTGTTGTTTTGTTTGTTTGTCTTGTTGTTGTTTTTTTTTTTTCCATTTGATGTCCTAACAGCCTCTCCCAAATAACCACAAGAGGCTTACTATTAGTTATAAGCAACGCGGCCAATAAGCTCAGACTTGTTACTAGCTAACTTTTTACAAATTTAACACATTTGTATTAATCTACATTCTGCCACATGAAATTACTGCTCTTTTATCTTGCACCTTCTGTTTCCTCTCGTGTCTCGCTGGCAACTCCTCCGACTCCTCCCTTCTTCTTCCCACTGTCCTTAATCTGGTTTTTCCACCTAACCTTACCCTGTCCAGCTGTTGGCCAGTCAACTTCTTTATTAAACAAATCACAGTGACACATAGTATAAAAAGAATAGTCCACACATTTCCTCAACTGGGGCTCCTTCCTCTCTGATAACTCTAGACTTGTGTCAAGTTGATGCAAAACCAGTCAGTAGGTTTTGCAATTTCCTTTTTTTTTTTTTTTTTTTTTTTTTTTTTTTTAAATTTAATGGAAAGTCACATTGTTGTAAGGTAGAGATAATTTTTCTGAGTGTGTTTTAATCAATCAGAAGTAAGGTGATTTTATCCTCCTCTTTACTTTGACCATGAGTTTTGGTAGGGAAGCTTAAAATGTAGGGTGTGTAGGATTTCATGGAATGCAATTTTGAAGCTGTTCTTCTGTTTCCATCTTGATTTTTTTCATCTCTATTTTTTTTCTCCCCTTTGGTTTTTAAAAAGTGTGAGAGTGTGTGTGATGGTCAGAGGACAACCTTGTGGAGTTGGTTCTCTTGGAGTGTGAGTATGCTATGGTGTACATATAGAGGTCAGAGGACAACTTGGGGGACAAGAGGTTTTCTTCTACTATGTGGGTCCAAAGGATTGAGTTTATGTCACCATGCCTGACATCTCACTGACTCTTCATCTACCTTTATATGGGCTCGGGGCATTGAATTTAGGTGATCAGGTTTGTGCAGTGAGCACGTTTACTGGCGCTGAGCCATCTCACCAGCCAAGTTAAAGCACCAGCTATGCAGTGTTGATAAAAATATGTTAATTCTAGAGTAGGCCATGGTGGGAAACATAAGATTATAATACCCTTCTGACTAAGGGAAAGAATATGAAAATAGCTTATTTGGAAGGAGGAAAGAACAGGAAACACCTAGTGGGAACTGCCTGTAAGGCCATCCTGTGAACCGCTTTTCTCCATCGTCAGGCCCCCCTTTAACCATTCAAAGGGAGGCTGTATTTGTTTCCAGTTCTCACTTAATTTTGTATATTTCTTAATGAAATTGTTGATACATAGCCCTACACCATTGCTATAAGCACCTAGCAATCAGAACAATATGTTTTAACATGTTAAATGTGATACTTAAGAATTAAGGTTGTTCCTAGTATCTGCACGTTAGAAGTTTGGCAATAGAAACTTGGGTGAGCAAATCTCAGTGCAATATTTTGTTACTTCTATGCTTTGTTTTAATTAATTGATTCACTTTTGTGATATTAGGGATTGATTGAGCCTAGGACTTTCTGCATTGTAGCAAGAGTTCTACCCCTCAACTGTATTCCTGCCTCTTTCTGTTTTTTGTTGCATGTCGGGTCTGGGGTTTCTTTTTACAAGTAGGAGGTGGGGTGAGGCCAAGGGTATAGATGTCTCTCTCAAAGAGGAAGCAGCAGTCAGATCTGTGTCCTATGTCTTCTGCCTGCTTCCTGCTTCCCTGGGGCACTGGCTCTTCTCCCAGCTCATTTGGAAAGAGGAAGCTGACCTGTGACTGCCAGGGACTGGTTCTTCCCTTGGCTCAAGCAGACTGTGATGAGTGCCTGGGCTGGAACTCACTCCTTGTTGTCAGATAACTAAGAACAAACCTTTCTCATTTTGTCAGACTCCATTGGAGCCTAGGCCTATTAGTCCATGTCATTTCACCTTGTTTTCCCATCTCAGGATGATGAAAAGTCATTCTTGGTTTGTAAGGGAAATTTGAAGTTCAATATTGTAAGTAAAGTACCTTGAAGTCTTTTTCTTGAAAATACTGTAGAAACATAATACCTCTAATGGTTCTGAACTCAAGTTGTTTGAGCAAAGAGCCATCAGCACTGCATGGGTATGCTTTTTCTTTCTTGATCCTTATTTTCAGAACCCACACAGCAGTTAAAATAGCACCACGATACAGTGCGCCTGTAATCCATGTCCTGGATGCATCCAAGAGTGTGGTGGTGGTAAGTGTGGGGTCTTTTTATTTGAAATGTGTTGTGAAGAGGGAACAAAGAAAGCATTGAGGGAGCTGAGGTGTTTTGTCTCGGCAAGTTCTCCTGAAGAAATGTGAAGGAGCAGGTGAAATGCCACGTGGACGTTCGCGGTGTGCCGCTGCAGTGCTTTTTCTTGCTGGAAGTAAGCCCCGTTAGCATCCTGTGCTTTCAGGGACGCTGACAGAAGTAAGCAACAGCTGAAGGATGGCACCAAATTGCCTTGCACTTGGACATCTGGCCAGATTGACAGATGCCTTTAATTTTACAAATATTAGTAAATTTCTTTGATCAGTGCTAGAATTTTAAAATGACCTTGTTCCAGATCTAAGAACACTTGACAGGGCCAGCTGACTCAACCAAAAAGCAGCCACCAGATATTCAAAACCCAAAGTACTAGAGAGTTCCTTAGTGCACAAAACAGAAAACCTTGCTCAGGTGTTTTCCCCTGCCCTTCTCTTGTAGTAAATCCCGATTGTCATTCTCATGTGTTTGCTGAGTAATAGGCTACAACAGCTGGGCGACATGTGAGAGAATAATCACATAGTCCTTCAGCTTCCAAGTTACTTGCCTAGAAACTCAGTGTAAGATAGAAAAGAGCTAAGCGGCCTCTTCCGTCCTTAATCCCATTTATAGTTTTCAATGAAAGCATAGTTTGACAACTCAAGATTTTTTGTAGGGAAAGACATTTACTGAAGGGCCTGGTGATCTGGGAGACTCTACCAACATGGGGCATTCTGGATGACAGTGACCACGGTTTCTATGCTGTCTTCTGAAAGGAAACATTTCAGATCTGTTTATTCATGTATGTGGAATTTATACAGTAATCACTATTACACTGAGTTGAGTGTATCATGAGGTGTTATTGTGGGGTGGAGGTGGTCGGGTGATGGGGCCCCGTATATGTATGGAGATCAGAGATAACTTGTGGAAATTGGTTCTCTTCTTCTACCATGCATGGGTCCTAGGGATTACAGTCAGGTTGTCAGACTGGCAACAAGCATCTTCACCTGCTGAGCTATCTCACCCGCCCCATGGACTTTATCTTCCTTTGCTGATGGTTGTTGAACTTTATCTTGCGTTTCAGTGTTCTCAGCTGTTAGATGAAAATCTGAAAGATGACTTCATTGAAGAAATACTAGAAGAGTATGAAGACATTAGACAGGAACACTATGAGTCTATCAAGGTAAAAGCAGAGTGATAAAAGCAGAGTGATCCATGGTTTTTCATGGGCTTTATTGACTGTTTTGAGGAGTCCTTTGAGAGAAGTGTATTTCCTAGCACGAACTTGAGTTTTTGGTATCTAAATTCCTGATTCTTTTAAATTTTATTTTATAATGAATTATAAGTAGGACATGGACTTGCATGATTATAACCCCAGCACTTAGATGGGAAAAGAGGATCATAAGTTTGAAGCCAGCCTGGGCTGCATAGCAAGACTATGTCTGAAAACACTTGGGAATATTTTTTTAAACTGTATTCAGCCCAACATTCTGAATCCTCAGTAGATATTAGGCTGTATGGTGGACACCGGACCTGTGGGAATAAGTGAAACGTGAGCTCACAGACGTCCCAAAAATATGAGCTAAGCCATTCTAAAATGATGTTCTCAGACTTATTCTTGAGGGGAAAATGGTGGTGTTAATTAGTCATTCTCCAGCCTTTCCTGAGTATTGGCTCAACTTGTCTGCTATTCCGAGTCATGTGCCAGGAATGGTCCCCTCTAGGCTTCAGGGACTCCATAATTACTCTTCTAAGTCACTAGGATAGTTCCTAGGCTTGTCTGCCGTCCATCTTTGTGTGGACATTAAGGGAGTTGCTAGGAATGTGAAAGAGAGAATAAACAAGTGACATGTTTCTAAGGTGCTTGAGAGCTGTAGGTGCTGCTGATAGCTTCTTTCCAGTCTCCTGTTTGCTTACAGCTGACAGGTCCTTGGGTCTACCCTGCTCTGGTCCTCAGGCTAGTTTTGGCAGGGCAGTTAACTCCAAGTTCATGTGTCCTGAAAGAACTGATAAAGGCTGCAGGGTCAGTCTTACAACCACAACCACACGTGTTGCCTCTTTACTCTCTCCTATTTTGGTGGCAGTGTGAAGCCATATTGGTTGGGAAAGAATAAGGATTATCCTTTAAAAGCATTTGGTTTTGTTCATTTGTTTGTTTTGTTTGCAAAACTTTCTTGGTTATGTTTTCATTGTAGAGATAGAAAGGCTAAGAAGTTTTAACTAAATTACCATTTTCTTCAACAGGAGAGAAAATACTTATCCCTAAGTCAAGCCAGAAAAAATGGTTTCCACATTGATTGGCTGTCTGAACCTCACCCAGGTCTGTGGCTGTCAAACCTGACAATGTCTAGGACTGTTTGCCATTACTCTGCTACAAATGAACCTGCAAGTGAGGATAGTAATGAGTCACCCTAGTTGAAAAGAAGGTGGATAGGAAGACCTTTTTGAGTGCCACAAACTTTTGTGAGATGGATTCACCATGGCTGATTTGAGTCCTTGTGATGACTCTTTTTTTTTTTTTTTTTTTCTTTTCAGACAAGGTTTCTCTGTGGTTTTTGAGGCTGTTCTAGAACTAGCTCTTGTAGACCAGGCTGGTCTTGAACTCACAGAGATCCACCTGCCTCTGCCTCCCAAGTGCTGGGATTAAAGGTGTGCGCCAGTACCACCCGGCTTCTGATGACTCTTGTAACAAGCATGTTTATTGTCTTAATTTTAATTTAAGAAACTCCAACTTCAGCCAATAACTTGAATAGTTGTCAAGCTTCTACCAAGCTTCTGTAGCCTTTCTGCTTCTCTGTGTTTGCTTGAATGAGCCTCCTCGACTGACCTGAGTTGTATGCAGGCTAAAGGACTCATTTAGAATGTCTGAAATATAAAATAACTGCATTCATGGGTCTTGAAAAGCTGGATCCTTTTTGCTCTCATGTTCTGTCTCTGGATGCTTCCCTTTGAATTTCTCTTATGTGGTTTCTTCCTGTTTTATTTCTGCTCCCTTTCTTACCTCACATAGGTATTCACAAGGGGATACTATGCATAAGATATTTTGACAGGCTCAGAGAGACTTGAGGCACAAATGCAAAACAGAGACCGGGTGAAGGGGGGGTGGGTGTCTTAAAGGAATCTGTATTTCCAAAGTAATGTCTGGAACCAGCTCCCAGTGTTCATGACATCTGTGTTCTACACATGCTCGGCAGAGTAGAGGATTAAATTGGAAATGTAGGTGTGTTATGTTCTAATTTCATTCCTGCTGGGTTCAGTGGAATTAGTGGAAAGAGTGCCAAATTGGAAGCTGGGAGGCCCGGGTGCTCATCCTGGCCTGGCTCCTTCCTGGCTCTGATTCCCTGTGTGACCTTGAGTGTCTGTCTTTCTTCTACATTTGACAAGCACTGATGTGTAAAGGAGGATTGCTTTATGGAAATGTTGACAGGGTAAAAAAAGATACTAATGTGAAAATCTTTGAAGAAATACAAGTCACTACAACAGAGTTCATGCTATGATAGTTTGCTGTTTATCTTTTACTCTGAAAGTGGTCTAGAGGCACCAGGGAAAGTCACACATCCAAATATATATTTTGCTAGAAAGACCCTGAGAAGGCCCATAATATCTGCTAGTGATGGAGATACTTCCTGGATTGCCTTTTTCACCCCCTTATGATGACATCACTAGCTCTACCCTGCTGCCTGAGGGATATGGGGTCCCAAGGTATGGCCTTTGAATGTTCTGAGGATAGCCCACTTGAGGGAGCTGTATGAGGTGAAACCAGTAAGAAAGCAGGGCTTTCTCTATAGGCCCTGGGGAAGTAGAGCCTGAAACACTCTTAGAACTCAGGCTCGAAGCTTGATGAAGAGCACCCTGCACTTGGTAACTCCACAGCTACAGGTCACTGCCACCCACCTAGCAAGGGGTCTCTTTGGTCTGGGGATGTCAGTCGTTTCTCTTGTTTCTCCTAAAAGGACTCTGCCGACTTTGTTAACAAACTAACCTATACGGTAGTGGTTAAAACGTGGGGCAGCCCCGGATTGTATGAAGATGGCAGAGCAGATGGGGAAGAGTCACTGGTACAGGAAGGCAGAGATTCCAGCTCAGTTAAGAGCTCTTCTGCTCTCCCCTGGCCCTGAGTGGCCCATGTTCTTCAGAGCAGCTATTAACAGTGGATGGAACAGCGAGTCCCTGGATCCCTAGTCACAGGGAAGTATAGAGTTGGCATTAGCACTGGCCCCTTGGCCTCTGGCCCAGTATCCATGTGGCATTTTGTCCTTGGTATCCTGAGTTGTTTGAGGGCCTATAGAGTCCCTAGAATTATATGTTGGATATGCTTCAGACTTGACATGCAGAGAACAATTCCTGAATGCCTGTGTATTCCATTACTCAACCTACGAAATAAGTTATGATTTAATAAATCTTCTTTAAAAAAATCAAAGATATTCATCCATAACGGCAGTGCTATATTTGTTCCTTCCCTGTGGAAGTAGCCACAGTTTGGAGTTTGGGGCTGCATTTCTGTATATGCCCTTACAATCTGTGGGGTGTGTGTTTGTGTGTGTGTGTGTGTGTGTGTGTGTGTGTGTGTGTATGCTGTGAAGGCTATTGGTTCATGTTTGTAAGTTTTGTATAAGTAGTGTACTACACATGCCCTTCTACAGCAGTCTTTTTTTTTTAACATTACCACCATCTGTACACACAGGAGTGTACTAAAGGCTTCCCTTTTTCTTAGACATGGTGGGGATGAAATGGCGGAGGGAGGAGTTTACAGCATGAGATAGTCACTCAGCTTCATGGGGAAATTCCTTCTCTATGATAATTTAAGGATCCCCTCTTGGTAAGACAACTCCTACAGGTGACAGGAGGGAGACAGGCATGGGAGTAAGCTGCAAGTGAGGAGAAGGGAAGGACACCTCAGTGTATGACCATATGAGTGCTCTCCCAGCCGGTGTGGCATTGACAGCTGTGTCTCTTTCCTCTAGTGAAGCCCACCTTTATTGGGACCCAGGTTTTTGAAGACTATAACCTACAAAAGCTAGTGGACTACATTGACTGGAAACCTTTCTTCGATGTCTGGCAGCTCCGTGGCAAGTACCCAAATCGAGGCTTCCCCAAGATATTTAACGACAAAACAGTAGGTTAGTAAATCCTTCCTGTCTGGTATTCAGGATGTGACTCTGAAGGTGGTTTGAGAGGATGCACTAAATGTTTAATTTGCACAGGATATAGCTGCTTCCATATTGCTCAACTTTCAGGTGAACTTTTCATTGTTTGTCCTTATGTGGGTAAATTTGGCCTTTCATTCATTCATTCTTTAAATTAATGTACTCACTGACATCGGTTACATATTGGTCTCTGCTCAGCAGAGACAGAACAAAAGGTGATAACCCTTTGGTTTAGTACTGACTCACTGGTGCAGCTGACAGTACTAGGTGTTGCTGGGCTCTTGCTATGGCTCAGCCTGGGGTCCCACTCACGTAAGAAGTGGGGCTAGAATTCCAGCAGGAAATTTGAGTGGGCTTCCTGCCAATGGTGGTATGTGAACTGTTATTGAAGATTCCATGGGAATTGCTGAGGCTGGGCCTAAGGATAGGAAGCTGAAATAAAGAAGGAATAAGTCAAACCAAAGAGAATGAGAAGCCTTGGACATGGGTGCCCGTGTAGGGAACTGCAGCTCTCATTTTACCTAGAATACAAAAGGAAGGATGGCGCTTCACCCCCATCCACCTCTCTTAGAGACATTCAGGAGGAGTACTGGTGATCCATGAGGTTCAGACTGGAGAGAGCCAGGGAAACCAGACAGTTGTTAGATTTCGGATGGGTATGTTAGGATGCTGAGATCCAAGTACTGATGAGTAGTCAGGAGGATTGGGTGAGACACTTGCTACTGTACTGTTCCTGTGCCACCACAGCCAGCTGTGAAGGGATGGACTACCCTTCACATAGGTAGGGCAGCACAGTGTTGTCTACTGACAGCTAATGGGAGCTGATGGAAGGTGTCCCAGAACTGGTCAGGTGCTTACCACATAGGTGCTGAAGCTCTTCAGATACAGCACCAATGCTATTTAAGAGGATTTGGGCTACACATCATGGCTCGCCCTGTCTCATCCTCATATATCACTGTGAAGTTAATAGGGTTTTATGTGGAATGCCAAGTCTTGCCCTCTTTCTGACAAAACTGTTCTGGGTACCTTTGATTTAGCTCTCTGGATTCTACTAAATGAGAAAGTATAAACAGATTGAACTAGAGGAGGCACACTGTGCGGGTTCATTTCATGGACCTACTAGCCTCTGTGTACTCTGTTTCAGACTGTACCCGTGGCACAGCTGAGAGTCTGTATGAGGATGGAGAAGAGGGTAGGGGCAGGAGAAACAGCAGTGTTTTAAAAAAGAACTGTTGCTATTGGCATCTTTAAATGAGTTCTTATTTTTTAATAGGTAAAGAAGCCAGGAAGGTATATGATGATGCTCAGAATATGCTGAACATATTGATAAGTCAGAAGAAACTCCAGGCCAGGGGTGTGGTTGGATTTTGGCCAGCACAGAGTGTTCAAGATGATATCCACTTGTATGCAGAGGGTGTGGTGCCCCAGGCTTCAGAGCCCATAGCCACCTTCTATGGGCTGCGGCAGCAGGTATGGATATGTGTGGACAACGAGTGTACCACTTTGACTCTCAGGCTTGGGAACTACGTTAAGTGTCAGTGAGAAATAAATAAGAAATCTCATTGAAAACAGCCTCCAGAGGTCTGAGTCTTAAGCATCTGTGAGGATGGAGAGAAGGTACCAACATGGGTGTCCGTGAGGTCGGTCAGGAGTTCCCTGCTGATAGGGAACAGTGCTGCTGGTCCAGTTGTCACACACACGTGCTTTCAGTCTTTAGTACCCTTATCTCTTGAAACTAGGGGGCATTTGCTTTCCGTAACAATTGCTTTTCATCTGAGTATGCTATTAAAAACTGTTACATGGCTTACTGTCTCAAAGGGAAGTCTGGTGAGGACAAATATCCCAGAACGTCCGCCCTCACAGGTGCTGAAGTCGGAGTAATATAGCCATAGTGTAACTGTTTCATGGTGCTGTTGTTAGGCAGCTTATGCCTCACTTCACAGAAGGAAAAAAATGGGTAGCGTGAGCTGGCCCTGAGCTTCGTGTGCAGAGAGGAAGGCCTCCTTGAGTGCACCCTGGCTGTATTCTCCCTTGTAACGGTTCTAAGAATACCCTGTCTGTGTTTGTTTTTCATCTCACCTTTAAAAATGCAAGCACCATGCAAAGACTTTAGCTGGACACAATTGTCTCAGTCAAGAATTGGAGCCAGAATTTATTAATTAGTAGTAAGTTACTTTTTTTAGTTTTACTAATATTTTTTGTAGTTTAAAATTGGCAGCGTTGCCTTTTGTCATAATGCAGCTCATAATGACAGGTTTTTACTAGTAACAACGGATGGGATTCTTAAATTTGGGTTTTAGTGCCATAAGGAATTATGTGAGAACTATTTCAGCTTTACTCTGTTTGTACAGGCTCAGACACCACAGGACCCAGGGCAGGGAGCTCCAGTGTTGAGCTCTGACCCTTTCTTGCTAGGGAATCAGAGACTTTTCTTTGACTGGTAGCTCAGGCCAGATACCTCTCCTGAGCCCGTTCTTTCATCCTCCAGTCCTTGGTTTTCCTCTGCTGTCCTTTCACTTCCAGAATGAATTAAATACTATGATTCCTGTTGTGTCTGGGAAGTCTGGACATGCTGTATAAGGGTATTTACTGCAATGGATTCTCAGGGAACTCTTTTAGTAGTCCCTAGAAAGGGGAACTGGACCATAGATATGTATTGCCTCCGTGGATAGCCTTTTATTAGGAGGCGATCTGCAGGGCACTGAAAAATTGTAGCTGAGCGCCTCATTACTCTGGGAGCCTTTTGTTCAGAGTAGCTCTCTGATTGCCATCCCTTCTGAGGCACAGTGGGACCAGTGACCTGTCTACTGCAGAGTAGCTTTGTGTCCCTCTCTTGCTTCTTTTTCATTTTTTAAATCAAAGGGCAGTAGAGTACTACTGGAAAATGGACTGACCCTTCATTCACCTCTGTCCCTGAGCTCTGGAACACTTATATCTTCTGACCTGCAGCCACTGGCTTATTCTCTGCCCAGGGTCAGGCTGCACTTGCTCTCATGATTAACAAATGGATTGGGAGATTCTGAATGACTACTCCTTGATTAATTGGTCAGTGTAGAGCAGTACTATGTATCTAGGAGCATTTGTTTGTAGAACTGATGGGTCTCCTGGACCTATGGGGTCAAATTTTATGCCTCAGATTTCTTGCTTGTGAACTGGAGCTTGTGGATCACTTTCTTCACTGGATTGCTGAGAGCTAAATTAGTGTTCTATAAAGAACAATAAGTGATAAGTTCTTAGGAAGTATTAGTTATAAGGTATTAACTTTTTATTGACCATGATGTGTATAAGACTTTGATAGCTTTAGCAGGGAAGGGCCATTTACCAGCTGAGAGTAAAACAGTGGAAGATAGACTCCTGTGCTGTGGAGAGAGCCAGAGAAAAGTAGATTCGTGTGTGTGTGTGTGTGTGTGTGTGTGTGTGTGTGTGTGTGTGTGTGTGTGTGTGTGAGAGAGAGAGAGAGAGAGAGAGAGAGAATGTGTGTGTGTGGTGGAGGTGGCGGCGGCGGATGGGGTGTGGTTTTGAGACAGGGTCTCATGTGTCCCTGGCTGGCCTCAAACTTGATGTGCCACTAAGGGACCTTTGATCTTTATTCATACTGAAATTATAGGCCTGCAAGTCTGTACCTGACTTGTATGGTAGTAAAGATCAAACAGAGCTTTGTGGTTTCTAGACTGACATTTTTTCCAACTCTGATTCCTAGGCCCTGAACAGATTCTTTTTATTCAGGCTGTCTTAGTGTGTTCTCAGAAGTCTTCTAACCATGGTGGACAACACCGGGCCCGTATGCACTTGACCTCAGCAGTTTGTTGGCGTCTTCTCAAACATGTTTGTGTGAATTGAAAACACAGTTTACTCTGATTGTTTAAGGTTCTTGTCCCTAGCATAGTGCCTGCAGGTGTTCAGAAGTTTTTAGTCCGTGTGTAAATGAGCAAATCTACTAGTTGCTAATTATATATGCTACATCATGTATTTTTAAAAATCTCATTTTATTTGTGTCTTAGTCTGTTTTCTGTTGCTATAAGAACTACTTAAGACTGGAGACTTATAAAGAAAAAATGTTTAGTTTGGTTCATTGTTCTGAATGTTAGGAAGTCTAAGATCAAGCAGCCACATCTGATGAGAACCATGTGCTGCTTTGTAATATGGCAAAACTCAAGGGGGAGAAGCATGTAGGCGAGCAAGAAAAGAACTCCAGAGATAGCCATCTTGCAAGAAAGACAGTAATCAAGTGATGATGGCTCCACCCGCCACGCTGCGGTGCCTGTGGGCCCCACATGGCTGTGTTGAGTGATTGTGGATTAGTGTATGAACACTCTCAAACCATAGTCATTGGTTTATTCAGCAAGTATCTGTTGCATACTCACTGTGTGCCAGACACCATTCTGAGTGCTGGGCAGAGCTGAGTGAAGCAGGCAGACATTCTATGTCCTAAGGCTTACATTCATCTTGCTCTCTACCATGCCATGCTAATGGCTTCTCTGCCCAATGCTTGGGTTTTAAGGCTGAAAAGGACTCTTCCAGCACAGACCCCTACCATTGCCTCTCAGACTTCATTGCTCCTCTGCATTCTGGTGTCCAAGACTACTTGGGTCTGTTTGCTGTTGCCTGCTTTGGGGTTGAAGAACTGAGTAAGGCCTATGAGGATGATGGCGATGACTACAGCAGCATCATGGTGAAGGCATTGGGGAGACCGGCTGGCAGAGGTAAGGCATTGGCAGATACTGGGGTGTTGAAGTGGAGAATGGTTGTTGGAGCCCCGTGACAGTGTCAGAAAATGTAGCAACCTTTAAAATCTGTGACATTAAGTCCTGTGTCTCCCAAATGCCATGTGTCATCTTTTAGCAAAGAGAAACCTCCAGTGTTTTCCTAGTTGGTTGTTGTGCTCTTATCTCTGAATTAGTCTTCCTTTGATTAGTATTATACTTTTTTACTGGTAACCCCCCCCAGAATTAAAGTCAGATTTCTGCTTTAAAGTCTTTTCTAATATTGGCAACTTTTGTAGAGTTATCTCTGCTGCATGTGGGGTGAGGCAGGCCAAGCTGTGGGAGGTCCTGTCCCCTTTCTTTTCTGCAGGTGATGGAGAATGCAGCTGTGCCTGTGGTCCCAGTACATTTCTGGTAAATCTATGGTCCCACTGACTTCAGGAAAATGGTGGAGAATTCTCAGATTACTAAATATGATACTTCAGATCATAGTTGAGAGCACCATTGAGTCTCAGAGCTGCTAATGAAAGTGCAGGTTTTCCTGACTGTGGCATGGTAGGGAAAGTGGTTCTGCGCCACTGTGGTGCAGGGCTGGAGGCCACAGGTTGCTTCTGCTTGACTGTGCCTGTCTCTTCTGTGTTCCCAGGCTTTTGCAGAGGAGCTCCATGAGAGAGTTCGCCGAGAACTGTGGGCCTACTGTAGTAATGAGCTGTTGGGTGTCACAGACTTGCGCAAACTCCGGTATGAGGGCATCCGGCCAGCTCCTGGTTACCCCAGCCAGCCTGACCATACCGAGAAACTCACCATGTGGAGACTGGCCAACATTGAGCAGGCCACAGGTGTGTCGGAGACAGTGAGTTGCTGTCCTTGCTCACTGAGTGCATGTACTTATCAGTGACATATGCAGTTAAAGTTCTTATAAAATGGGAGAACTTAGAAGGAAATCATCCCTCATCCCATCCTTTCTCACTTGGATCTGTTTTGACACTTCACTTCCAAAGCACAGCATTTTTTTTTTTTTTTTTTTTTTTTTTTTTTTTTTTTTGTGTGTATCATTTCTTTTTTTTTTTAATTTATTTTATATAACAAAGTCCATTTAAATGAAAACAAACATTTATAGACAATATTTGGGAATTTGGGTGTTGTTCTTTCCAAACTACTTCCTGCTGGTAAGGGGCGCTGTCATGGGGGATTCGAAGAAGATTCAGAAATCCTGGCAGTAGCCAAAGCACAGCATTGTATTTTTACTATTTTAGACATAGTAGTTGGAACTCTTGCCCCGTCCTGGATGGGGATTTACCTTCTCCTTTCTTCCCCCCCTGCCTTTCCTGACCTGGTTTTCTGTTCTTAGTACAGTAGCTGGTGGCCAGCCTCTGTCCTGTTAGCAGTGTCTTCTGTCTACTCAGGCCTGTGCTGCTTGCTGGTGGCTGGTTCTGGGCTCTAAACTGGCAAGCTCACAGCCTCCCTTAGCCTTCTCACTTTCCTTTCCTGATTATTAACGTTTATGCTCCTTTGCAGTCATCACCCCCTTACATTTTCTCTATGGGTTGAGTCCCAGAGTTGAAAGTTAAAAGTTGATCGATGCTCTGTTGAGATAACAGCCTCATTGCCCTTGGCTCAGGGCAGAGTCATTGTTCTGAGGCTTTGTGTTGTCCTATCCTTACTGCACAGCTTGTGGAGTTGAGAAGACTCAGGTTAAATCACAAACCCAGTAGAATTAATCAAAATAGCTATCAAAGCTGGTGAAGTTGAATCCATATCAAAGAAACTGGGAGTGGCATTGGGTCTGGGTCTGTAGAAAAAGCTCTGGGTGGGTAACATCTAGGTGAGAGCCACATTTCCTGTGAGTGAGCTAGAGATCGTTAGAAAGTATTCAATCACTGGTGATGCCCTGTTCTTGTCCATAGAGTGAGGAGTGCAGAGTAACAGTCCTGAGAACCCTTCCTTCTTGGTGCTTTTATGGGCTTGTTCTTCATTCCTGTTGCCGACTGACCTCACAGAGTCATGGGGGGTCTATGGGTGCTTCTCTTACTCGACTAGCAGTCCTACCTGAGAAGACTCAGTGTCAAGACAAGTTGTCGCTGGGGGAAAGAATGCAGTCTTTTTCAGGCTTGCTCCCACTGGGTATAATAACATGCATATCCTGAATTTGGTTTTCCACCTGGCAAGAATTTACTAGAGACTGTGATTGGAGCTTCTTATGGTGTCTTTGTGTCTACCTAGGAGGCATGAGTTTACTTAGTGCTCACTCAGTCTGTTAGTTCCTCTCACTCATTGCTTCCTGTTTCTCTTCAGGCATCAGGTTGACAGACTCCTTGGCAATGACACCTGCTTCAGCAGTGTCGGGACTCTACTTCTCCAATGTAAAGTCCAAATATTTTGCTGTGGGGAAAGTTTCGAAGGATCAGGTAAATATGTGGCTTCTCTAGATAACTGTCTTTACAGTAGACCTGTAGGATCCATTTTACATGACAATGAACTGGTGTGTGTGTGTGTGTGTGTAACTCACCCCAGTTTGTGTCTTAATTTGATTTCAGCCCATTACCCTGTTTCTAGCCCTCCTTCTCTACCCACCACACACACACACACACACACACACACACACACACACACACACCCGCCCTCCCCCTACCCACCTGCTGGCTTCTAAGCATCAGACATCTGTTGCATGTTGTTTTCTGCCTAGAGAGTAAAGCAAGTAGGCAGACAGATAATACCTCTCTTTGGCTCGGTAGATTGCTGTTAAAACAAGATATGCCAGGTACTTAATGTTTATTTGAAAGGCCTGTGGAAACTCAGATTAGAATGTCTTAGCACACTGGCTTAACAAGATACTTCTGTCTTTTACAGATTGAGGATTATGCTTTGAGGAAGAACATGCCTGTGGCAGAGGTGGAGAGATGGCTTGGCCCCATTCTGGGATATGATACAGACTGACTTCTTTCTCTCTCACACACTCCTTTTCTTCTTTTTCTTTAAAACCCTTATATTTGCTGACCTCAAGGGGATACAAGCCAGAGTGCCTTAGAAATAACAACAGAATATATCCGTGTGTCTGCCTGGCATTCCCCACTGCCAGTGTTGGAAGGCAAGTGGTGGCATGTGATGTAGAGCCAGCCTTCTGGGTTCCTAGAAAATTAGTGCTTTTTCGGGGACTTTAAATGAAGAGCAACAAGGTGCCGAGGCTTATGTTGTTTCTGGGTCTTTAGGGTTGGAGCAAGCCGAAGACATCTTTTGCATTCTAAAGCAGCTCAGCTAGCTTTTCCCTATTTTTGCCATTGACCGAGGAGGGTTCTTGTTCCTGATTTCTGTTGTTGTTTGGTTGGTTTTATTGTTTTCTCACATTAAAAAAAAAAAAGGTCTTGTAAATAAGTTGAATAGGGGAATGTATAGAGAAATGTGACCCTGAAGCAAAGTGCCACCGTGAGAAATGTGACATTTCAATGGAAGTGGTTTCAACGGGAGGAGGGTATTCCTCTCTTTTCTTCTGTAAGACCTCATTTTCTGAGGCTCAGCTAATGACTGTAGAATTCTTTGGCAGAGGCATGTTCACTGTTTGCTGGACTCACATACTGGAACTATTTGCCCTGGTGTGCTGGTGTGGCTAGGCATAGTCACATTTTCTAACCTCTTTTTTTTCCCCTTGTAGTTTCATGTTCTCTTGCATTAGGGGAAAAGGGGAAGAGAAAGAAAGTGACTTCCAAGGATATTATTTAACATCTTCTAGCTGTTCTCAGAATCAAGCAGGTTTTCAGTTGAGCCTGACATCTGTGCAGAGCTGGACCTGTGGGTGGCTTAAAGCCACTCAATTCTTTGTGTGCACCTGGCTCCGAACTCAAATATTTTGGATATACTATGGTGGCTTGTTGTTTGTTATTTCTGGATAAATTGTTCAGAGCATTAGGCTCTGAAAGCACAGACTCCAACTTCAACTTTGTTGTGTAACTTTTATATGACATAAGCCAAGTGCTTGGTCTTCCCAACACTTTGTTTGGTCATCTATAAAACGAGAACAATGATATTAATTTCTGTCTCAGTGGGTGAGGTTTAAACAAGATTGTGCATGGACACAATTCAGGTACACACAAATATGGAGGGTTCCTGTAGATCTCTGTAGTCTTTGTACTTTAGATATGGAAATAATAAGATGTTAATGGAGGAAGGTACAGTAGGGAAATGTGTATGGGAATGTGACTTAAGGGAATCTTCTGGGATTAGAACCCCAATTTAAAGTTTATACTGACTGAGAAAGAGAAGCAGCCTCCATGTGTTATACATGCCACCAGGACTCATCTTCTGTGGGACAGACTCCTCATATGCTGCCCCAAGGCACTTAACCAAACACATACTCTGGTATATTGGAGGTGGAAAGAAAATGACAGTTGGATAATAATGAGCCTGCGAATCTGTAATCTTTCCAAGTTCATTTTCAAGTAGTATATACTTTATGCATACCTTTCCCTCAGAGTGAAAAGAACTGTCTCCTCTTTTAAGGTATATTTAACTCGTACTAGAATGTAAATAGGGCTCACTAGTCTGAACCACTTAGTTTCAGGATGGATCTCCATAGCAGGTATAATTTTTAGGTTTTGGAACATTCATCTGTGAGAAAGAATAACCTCCAGATATTTTAATGTATTCATCTGCAGAACTACTAATGGTCTGTATTTCATTGCCATTCTTTCAGCTGGCTTCCCTGAACATGTCTTTGATCTAATTCCATGACAGATGTCCTCCTCTTTTTACAAGCTTAGGTGTATAGATATTCACTGAGGAATATAAATGATAACTTGGGAACATCCTTCTTAGTTTATTTTGTGTATTCCAGAGAAGTTGGACTCAAGGCTAACTTTCTAAACTGGGCTCTTGTGTGCATGATTGAAGGTACCCAGCATGCACCCTCACCATTGGCACCTGAGGGCTCTGACATAAACTGATTTCACACTTGGGGCTTGCATATTCGTTAGGGCTGCATATTTATTTTTTCATAGTTAAGAATTGTCTGTAGCCAAATGTGCCTGCCCTATGCCTGTCATCACATCATTTGGGAAGTTGAGGCAGGAGAATTGGCATAAGGAACCGACCATCCTGAGTTAAACAGATTGTCTTTAAAAATAATAACAGGACGAGCAAGATGGTTCAGTGAGTCCATGTACAGGCTGACAAACCTGACCTGAGTTGACCCATGAACTCACATGGTAGAAGAGACCATCTCCTGGCCTCCACATGAAGGTTGCAGCACACTACACAACAAACACATACTTTGGTGTGGGGAGGAATTCCCTGTTGCTGCTTGGTCTGCTGCCTGCTCTAGAGGCAACCGTGGCTGGGAATAGGGATAGTTTTATTGCTACTCCTCCTTTGAGCTATTTTGCTAGCCATTCACCTCCATTCATAATGAACACACATGGAAATGATCTTCCCCCCCCCCCCCAGTTGATTCTCTCATGCATATTTTTTTCACATATTTGGGCTTCTCTCATGTACCAGTTACTTTCTCCTACTTGCACTTAATGCAGTGAAGTTAAGGGAGGTGTGTTCTCATCTCTTACCACTGATGGCTTCTTAATTATTAGATCTAGAGGCCCTCCTAGGGGTTATTTTCCCTGTGGTTAAGACAGAGCTGACTGCTCCATATTGTTACCCATATCCCCTCCCTTCACATGATTCTTTTGTCAGCCTTCAATATTTATGGTCATTTCTCAATCAGTTTTTCCTTCTATCTGCTTAAATTCTTACATTCTGTCATTAGTTGCTTTCCCAGCCTATTGCTTTAGAGGATGATTCAGTACTGCAGGCTACTCCATCCTTAATTCTTGCTCCTTAAGAGGCAGGTTGCCACCTTTACCCCTGAGGTAGCAGTGGAATATCCCAAACCTTGTATCTCATGTTCAGTAATGAAGACTGATGGATGCTGTCTAGTCAGCAGATTGCAAGCTCACTCCATACTGTCTCTCTCTAGGACAGTTTGCTCTAAAAGTGTGTAGGGCTGGTGGTAGGAGTACTCAGTTGACTCCCATTTAGGACTGAAGGATAAAGATGGATCAGCAGGGAAGGAACAGATGTGGAACTGTGAATAGAAACATTAAAGGTTACAAAGATGCCAGGTCTTTCCATGATGAGCTTTGAAGTCAAGATTTCCAGCAATTCTCACTGAGATCATGCTGAAGACCAGCAGATGACTAGTGTGGAATAGCAAAGGATCACAAGTGGTGAGATGCTTCTGGAAATGATTTTTTTTAGGGAACTTGACTGACAAAACATGAAGCTTTAGTACAGAAGTAGTTCCAGTCATTACTGCCCCAAACTAAGGACTTTTAGACAAGCAAACAAGTGTTTATGTAAAAGTGAGAAGACTTTTACAACATCATTCTTTATAGATTCATGGGAACGTAACATCATGTACCCCAATCCCACTCATCTCCCCATCACTCCATATCTGCCCCTCACCACTGCAGTATCCTTCCCCTAAAAGGAACCTCTCCCCCCAAAAAAAAATTTAAAACAAAGCAAACAGAGCCAGCCTGCCTTTCACTGGCCCTGGGATAGCTGACCCTGTTCCTTGCCCCAGGAGAGCTGTACCTACTCCCATAGGAGAGCTGGCTCCACACCTCACCTTGACCAAGGGGGTCAGTTCTAGAGGCCCAGACTGACCAGTCCAGCTACCACCCAGACCACATTCTGGGCTTTCGGTTAGTCCACCCTAACATCTATCCCATCTGTGACCTACTGGAGCATGTTAAGGGACTGGTCTTATGGAATGATAGCACAGGATCTCCATGACTCAAGACGGACAACAGGATATCCGAGAGTATTTTCAGTGAGGGTCCAGTGATGATGATGTACCAGAGGCCTTGAACCAGACCAATGACTCATTGCAGTGAACATTTGTGGGTGGGGCTGGTTAGACAAAAAGGTATAATGCTATGACACACCACAGTTCCCAGTGATACTATGACAAATGAAGAGGCATTCATTTGCTTTTAGAAGACTTTTTAAGGAAGATTAGTAACTAGAATATATAGAAATTTTTCTACTTGGAAAAAATAGAAAAACATTATCATGAGGCTGGTAAATAAATAGACGTTTTGTAGTGATCAGAAGTATGAGATTCTGCTTTCTGTCTGTGACATTTCCAAGAGTGGGACCCACAGTTTGAGGTATTAGTCTATAGGTAGTCACACACGTTTCCCGTCACTGCTGGAGAACAGTTACACCTCACAGATATGAACATCTACAGAGTGAATATGGGCTGAGCTTCCGGTAATGTTCATCTGTGTCTTACATTTTGGTCATGGAAGTATTATCATGTTAGTTCCTGGGATAACTGAAGTCCTGTCTATGGATGAATGGTTTCATAAGGTACTCTTAGGTACATGGTGTGGTTAAAAATGAGTCAATGACAGCCACACTTGGCAACATAGGGCAAAACAAGTTTCTTGTGACTACTTAAGGCATGACACCTATTATATTGAGTTCAAAAGTGTATGAGACCAAAGAATATATATATGGTAGCTAAACATGTGATTAGGAAACCCAAAATTAAGCTTAATGATAGATAGCCTGTGGAAGGGGGAATAAAAAGGACCAGAGGAAAGCATACAGGTGAATTATGAATAACTGCTCTAGTTCTTAGAAGGGAGGGTTATAGCTGTTTACTACACACAGCACTTTTGTATATTTTAAATATGCTATGTTTAATGTGTATTTAATGTGTTTAAAATAATAAAGTGAAGTGGTAACCTCAAATCTGGTATGGTGACTTTGTATGTAATGTATATATCAGACACACTTTTGGAAGGATGGAAGAACATCTTGGCTACAAGAGAAGGGATGGAGGCAGTTGGTTAAGAGGGATATATTTACACACCAAAATTATCTCTCATAGCCTAGGTTTTGGTGGGACGAGTGGGTGGTGCCATATGCTAAAACAGATTACAGGAGGGGGAGGGGAGGGGAGTTTCGGAAAGATGGATATGACTAGACTGAACTGCAGTTTTGGAACCTAACCCACTTGCTGTGT